ACCTCTCAAAAACATGGTTTTCCAAAGCTTTAATCAGCCCCAATCTTTTTTAGTGAAAAACATTATTCCTAATTATTAAGCAGCTTCTTAAACAACATAAATAATATGTTAAAGTGATGTTTTGTTTTGTGAGCACTGGACTTGAATTCTCTTTAAAATGCTTCATAAGTTCAGCTCAGTATTTGTGCATTTATGGAAGAGTGATGCCACTGTTATGAAACGTTGATGTCTCATTTTTGGAAGACAACACAGTCTTCAGTTTAAAGTGCAAATCTCCCAGGGACTCCATCTGGTGTGTTTTAGCATGGTAAATTTACTGCTGACCCAGTGAGCAGGATTCTCATCTGGCCGATGCTTTCTATGACACAGGTTTGTCTTTCAGGTAGAGGAAAGGTTGGCTAGAAGAAAGTCTCTTTTCCAACATTCTCCACATACTGGCTCTAGATCCAACATCTGAGAGCAGATTTATTGGCAAGCTCTGTTACTGCACCAACAGAGCCTTTTTCTTTAATTGATGCATGGTGTAATTTGGTAAACTGCTGCTCCTGTAAACCGACTGTGCTGTTTTCTTTCATTGTCCATGCCTTCTCTAAATAACAGCTTCTATTTTCCCTCGATCCTCTTCTGTTTTGTACTTTATTGTAATGTTTCAGCACCAATTAACCAACCTAAAATCCAACCCTACAAGCACCTGTTGCTCAGCAATACCAGTCTGATGTCCCTGAGCTCAGGTTTCTTTATGGGCATGTGTCATTGTCTCCACATTTTCTGGACCTTCCCCTCATACAAGAACACCTCAGTGTGACTCCAGGCCAGATTATGTTAGAAGGAGGAATGACAACCATGCAGACAGAGACAGAGCAGTGTTTTAAATCTTCTGCTGTGGCAGGCTGAAGCTTGGGCAGATTGTTAAACTATGCGTCCCTGGGCACAGACATATAAAAGGTTCCCAGCCTCAAACCATGGCCCTGTACTGCTTGTAGTCACAAATAACATTTTAGAGACAAACATGGACTCTCAGAGAAACAAAAATGAAGCCAAATTCTAGTTTTTTGTTGTTGTTTCATGAGCATTTTTTTGTCTCTGTGTTCTTTTATGTCTGCTTGTGGTCATTTGTATTGTCTTCATGGGCATTTTGTCCATCTTTGTAGTGGTTTGTCATTTCTGTTGTTATTTTTATCTCTTTGTAGACATTTAGCTTCTCTATGTTGTCGTTTCAAATCTCTTTGTATCACCTTGTTGTTTTGCATGTTTTTGTAGTCATTTGTTAAGGTTTCCAACAATAAAGAATACATTTCCCCTCATACAGAGACCATGGTCCCTGACCCCCATGAGCCAATTTAATAATTCAATCATGGGCCCCAAAGAAGCCTGTTTGAATCACAACAAGAGAGACGTAGCACTAATACTGGATCCATTTAAAGGCAGAACAGCATTGACTAGCATGTAATTTCTTTGTAAACATCAACTCAGCTCTTCAGGGAACAACAACAGCAAAATGATTCACATGATAATATCAGGTTATTTAATTTTCATTTTGTAATGGGATCTTAATAAAAATGTTGCTAATCCCACACCTCTCTTGGTCATTTACTGTATTTCTGTATCACAAAGGTGAGTGAAGAGTTGGAGGCATCAAATTACAGCTCTCTGTTGTGTCTGTCCTTCAGGGTGAGACAATGGGCTGTATCAAGAGCAAAGAGGACAAGAATCCTACTACAAAGTATCAACCAGAGAATTTCCTGCCTTCAGACCACAACAACACCACCAAGACTCAAGGAGGCCACTATGGACCAGAGCCTACCCAGCTGCTGCAGCAGAATCAGTCTCCCCCGTCTTCATCTGGTTCCGGAGCTGCAAACTTCAACCACACAGTCACACAATTTGGCGCTGCCTCATCTGCCATAACTCCCTTTGGAGGGACATCGTCTTCCTTCTCTGGAGCTGTGTCCAACTCATTCTCTGGTGCTGTTTCAAGTGAGTGGTGTTTTAATGGTCTTTAGTGCCCCTTTAGTATTGTACTTCACATATCATACTAGTGTTACAAGGCCAAATGGGACAAAAATACCAGATTACATAACTGGAGCAAGTTTCATGACCGAAACACTAAACACTACTACATGTTGTGACAATTGTCGAGAGTAAAGTAAAGTATAAATGCTTTGTGTTACAGAAAATGGACTAAAACAACTCTTTAACTTGGTCAGTATGCGAACCCAACACATCACAACCGTTGTTATTTTAACTAGCTTTTCCTTGTTAGCTTTAACACAGGCCCTGCTCTCACTCTAAACATCTCTAAGCTGCTTACAGCCATCCTGAGAGCAGAAAGATGAAATCGAACCCTCTGTTTAGGTATTAAGGTTGTAATCCTCCTGTTAGATTTTCTGCTCTCAGGGGGGGGTGGAGGGAGGTATCGCTGCCATGGTGTTTGCTTTTTGAGGGAGGTAATGGGATTAGTGTTGACAGCATTGTTGTCAGTGGTGGGTATAAGGTTTGAATGTCATCTGTCTGGGAGTGCACCTGCACAGAGAAATAGTTTTGACTGACTGAAATATGTCCTATATTTTTTTTTGTTTGAGCTCATGAGCCTGAAATCTGCTTTATACTCAGGCCCCAAGGGATCTGCTGTATATTATGATAGAAAGATTATCCTAAAAATGGTTTAATATAATGACTTTGCTTTGGCTTTGGTGTCATTGTCTGTTTTTTTCTAGTCCAGTGACAGTAATGTTTGCATGCAAAAGAAGTACTCGTACAATGAAATTACAAGCCAGACAAAATCGGTGTATTGTGATGTCTCAGAAGTTACCAAATTCGCTTCACAAACAAACCAGTTGTTTCCTCATGTTGTGTTGTCCTCATATTTGCATCACTTCTGCTGTTGTGTGCACAGTTATTTGTTCATCTGTGCCTCTGTTTTTGTGTTTTTAGATGGTGTTACTTTCTTTGTGGCCTTGTATGACTATGAAGCCCGAACATCAGATGATCTTACGTTTAAAAAGGGAGATCGGTTCCAGATCATTAACAATACGTAAGTATCTTTCGCTATATATTGAAATGTGCTTTGGTACAAATGGTGCAGCGATTACAAGAAGCTGCACATGTTCAGTGTGTGTCTGCCTTCGTGAGCGAGTTGATTCATACTTATTTCCCGATACTGCACAGCACTATGAATCTCTGCTGTGCCAGAGATGTCACCTGAGGTTATAGCATTGTAATGTAAAATAGATTAACCTCATTTAATTCCATTGCGACAGTGGTATTTATACTTGAACGCATTTTAAAGACAGGTCAACTCTTTATGAATCAAGTTGAAAAGACAAGTTGAGATGAAACAAAAAGATTTGAATATATACCATTTAAAACATTTCTGTAAGCCACAATAGTGTACAAGGTGTGGATAATTCTACACCAGACTGGCCTGTCTCCTCATTAACCATCCAAGATATTAATCATACTGTGATATATGAGTAGCAGTCCTTGGTTGACTGCTAAATGAAGGAGCCCTTCATCATCTTGCTTGTGTCATTGTCCCCCTGCAGAGAAGGAGACTGGTGGGAGGCTCACTGTATCAACACCGGGAAGAAGGGCTACATCCCGAGCAATTACGTGGCTCCAGCTGACTCTATCCAGGCTGAAGAGTAAAGCATTGTTGCTGCTTCTTCTAACCTTATTACTCCATCTACGGCGACTGCACCAGCGACACTAGCCTGATTGTGTCTCATTGCATCAAAGCATGCAGTCCTGGATTAACAGCCTCACAACCTGGATGAATATTTGTTATATGATTTTGATGTTTTAACACCAGAACATGTAGTTAATATGTCAGTGATTTTGATTTGATATGTTTTTATAGGTGGTACTTCGGTAAAATGGGTCGCAAAGATGCTGAGAGGTTGCTGCTGAATGCAGGGAATAATCGAGGAACATTCCTTGTGCGAGAAAGTGAAACTACTAAAGGTGATGGGTGCTTCTTCATAAATAGAGTTGTGAGTTGGGAGGTGTTCACGGTTATTCTGGAGTTGGACAGGGTTAGCTTACTAGCACTTGGAGCGCTTTAAGGCTTGTATGGACAGGAAACATTCACAATTTAGTCATCGTTACAAAAGAAGAGCAAATGTGAAAGAGAAAATGTCAGGTTCTTTGATTAAAAAGCTGGTTAACATTGTACAATCAATAAGGAGAGAAGTCTACTACAATTTCCAGTGAACACTGTGATGCAAAACACCCAATCACAGAGCTCAAAATGGTGTTGCTGGCATTGCAGACAGTGAGCTATAGCTGGAAATGGCTCCTGAGAGGGACCTGATAACACACTCACCAGACTGAATCAGTTCACATTCTGGGTCAGTGTTGATGAATTCCCTTCTGGCTGGCTTTTTCACTATAGCAGCATCAGCTGAAGATCATGGGTGTCAGGAAAGGGGAAATTTTGAAATGGAGAAGAGGCAGTGGAACAAGACGGCCATGCTAGCAGCCCTGAGAGACTATAGTAAAGCAATATTTAAGCTAAAATTGCTTACAATGGCACTTAGCAATAGTTTAGCATATTAGCATTTGATAATTAGAACTAAACACTATCACTGGTTTCAAAAGATAGGAGGAACTGTGACAGTCTGTTCAATATTTGTTGGGCTATTTCAGTCTGGATTGTTGCACCAACCAGCCAATATTGCAGACAAAAAAACCCAAGAAATAAAAAAATTTAAACAATGCCAAAGAAAACAAATGGAGTTTAAGGTGTTTAAAAAAAAAAAAAAAAAAAAAACATTAAGAAAGGTGCATGTACATCCCCAAAAAACATCTTTAGGAAACTAACTTCTTTCATCAGGTGCATAGGCCGAGGAGTAATAATAGTAGAGTAAAAACATTAGAGCCCACACACTGATTTAATGCTCCATGAAATCATTTTTATTTAGACCAAGTTACCATATCAATGATGTTTTGATTTAGTCTGACCTATTTTCAGTTTGTTCGTTGATCCAGCACTGTAAAGTTGGATTTGTATGTTATACACTGTGCCTTATTGGCTAATTTAAAGCCACTAATTGTGTATTCAGATGGATGAACATGTCCCTTGTCTCCTCCAGGTGCTTATTCTCTCTCCATACGAGACTGGGATGAAGCCAAAGGAGACAATGTGAAACACTATAAGATCCGTAAGCTTGACAGCGGGGGATACTACATCACTACACGAGTACAGTTCGATGCATTACAGAAGCTTGTCAAACACTATACAGGTATGTGATGTGCACAGCTTCCTGCTCACTTTCTTTTCCCGTTTTCTCTCATTCATTATTCATTACAGTCTTTTGTGCTCCTTGAGGAATTATCCTGAAAATTACTGCCACATCCGCAGCTCTGTGCCAAGATGTCATTTGCTGTGCTACCTGCAATAAGCCCCAGGGAGATGAATAGTCTTTCACTTTAAATAACAGTTGGTGGTGCGGTTATGATTTTGAGCCTTCCACTTTGTCTTCTGCCTGAGGAGGGCTGAGGTTAAATCTCTGTAATCGCACTTAATGTCAGTCTGAATGTGGTGTTTTACAAAGCCACTTTATGCATTTATATTTCATCGCTGTTTGTGTAAGAGTGTCTAAATCCATCCATTCAGTCATGAAATGGAATGAAGTGATGCATGAAACAAACTGGCTTTACAAAGTGGTACATATCATGTGGATGTAAAGCAGCGTTTTGACCTGTCTGTCTCATTCTCTCACAGAACATGCTGACGGCCTTTGCCACAGGCTGACCACAGTTTGCCCCACAGTGAAGCCTCAGACCCAGGGGCTCGCTAAAGATGCCTGGGAGATTCCCCGGGAGTCCCTGCGACTGGAGGTCAAACTGGGCCAGGGCTGCTTTGGAGAGGTTTGGATGGGTGAGAGAACACACACAGAAGCATGCCTAAAAATATCTGCTGTGTCATATTTTGTTTATCTCTAATTATAGATGGGGATATACAATCCAGTTAACTCTGAGACTTATGTAGGAAAAGCAGGCACCATGCACATAACTCAAACACATATAGACGCTTCAAACCATATTATTTATTGTTTCTATTTTAGTCCAAACCAAGGAATTATCCATTTCCCGCAGTTGCTTCCTCAGTTTGTTTTATCTTTAGAGGTTGTCTATTTCTTCCCTTTTGAAGTGCGAGCTTATATCCACTCATTTCAGGGTTTCTGTTTGGCATGCAGGCATGACAGCACATGTCTGGGCAATTACAAGACTTAATGAATGATATTGTCTTGCTCCCAGCTCATTAACAACACTGATTACTTCTGCTGCCTGTGGGCTTTTCTCTCCCTGTCTTTGCCTTTGTAGGCACGTGGAACGGCACTACTAAGGTGGCTATAAAGACACTGAAACCGGGAACTATGTCGCCCGAGGCCTTCCTCCAAGAGGCTCAGATCATGAAGAAGCTCAGGCATGATAAACTGGTGCCTCTCTATGCAGTGGTGTCTGAGGAACCCATCTACATTGTCACGGAGTACATGAGCAAAGGTGCATGCACAGACCTGAAGTGTACCTCTGGAGAATAACAAGCTGTTTTCCTGAAAAGCACGCATAACAACATCAAGCCTGAGCTCGTCAACCATCCATCCATCCATTTTCCTCCGCTTATCCGGGACCCGGGTCGCAGGGTCAGCACTCCAAGCAAAGATGCCCAGACTTCCCT